CCTCACTAGGTGTCCCATACATTCGGCCTTGTGCCACATCTAAACTACGCTTAGAAAATAACAAAGATGAGGACAATAGTCCGAATAATGGCGACAAAGATGAGGACAGTAGACTGAATAATGTAAATAGTGTACATAATACCTCATCTCAGATACTGAAAGACCGAAACGTTGTGATAAATATGCCAACAAAGATGAGAACAATAGAGCGAATAAATATATATATATATATATATATATATATATATATATATATATATATATATAATGATTACCAGTTCCAAGCGTTAACCGCTTGAAACCTGAAACTATCACTCACAATGCAGTGTTGATTCCTATGTCCACATATTCTATATCTGCAAACGCTCTACTATCTGACACTTTTTCTGCATAAATATAACAAATTTGTGTGTGTGCATAAATTTATTATATTTATGCACACACACGTATATATATATATATATATATATATATATATATATATATATATATATATATATTAAGAATTGGACAAAAGTCCGACAATTTATTAAAGACATTTTATGTTTAACATTCTTTTTATAGATACAAGTATTTAAGTAAATGCTCTGTAACCGTCATTTACGATGACGTGCCTTAACCGACTCGGCCACAAAGGAGCGTTCGGTAGGCAAGTTCGAATTTACTGCTTATAAACTTCAATCTTCCATGAATCTCCGTTCCGTATAGGATGCAGGTTCGAATCCTGTCAAAGGACGAATATTTTCTATGAACATTTCTCGGACATTCAGGCCGGTAAATGTTATTTAATACCGTTTATTATAAACAGACCATTTACTTAAATACTTGTATCTATAAAAAGAATGTTAAACATAAAAATGTCTTTAATATATATATATATATATATATATATATATATATATATATATATTTATATATGGTGTATGAAAAATACGTTTGCAAACATTGGGTGGGGTCCTCACAACAATGCAAGCACAAAAGTCCATATAAACATAGATCCATAAATCCTTCGTTTTTGAGTTATTACGTTTAAAGAAAGCTTACGGAAGATGGCGTCATATTGCCATAGAGACTAGGTTACATTTATTATTCGTGTAAATTTGTTGTTCGTCTGTCTTCAACGTTTAACGTATGTAGTAGTGAATTAGCTGAGAAGTGTTCTGTTTAACAGTATATTCATATAGTGAGCAGGTATATATATATATATATATATATATATATATATATATATGCATGTATGAATTCAAGTAGGTCAAAAGTTAATGTCTTAATTTTGTAAATACTGACGCATTTGTATATCATAGATACCTACATAGATCGAATCAGTGTATGATAGATAAGGGACGAATAGTTTCCTGGAAAAAGGAAAATTGTTGATATATATATATATGTATATGTGTGTGTACGCGCGAGCGCGCGCATGTGTGTGTGTCTAAATATATAAATGTTCGTATATGTATGAATGTATAAATTCAAGTTGGTCAAAAATTGACTTAAAATTGTAAATACCGATGTGGATCCTAGATAGATAGACATCAACAGACTGAGATAGATAGATAGATAGATAGATAGATAGATAGATAGATAGATAGATAGATATGAACAGTCATAGATAGACATAGATAGATATGAAAAGACTGAGATAGATAGATAGATAGATAGATATAAACAGACTGAGATAGATAGATAGATAGATAGATAGATAGATAGATAGATAGATAGATATGAACAATGTGAGAGATTTTGAACAGTGAGATAGATTTGAACAGTGTGATAGATAGATAGATAGATAGATAGATAGATAGATAGATAGATAGATATGAATCGTGTGAGGGATTTTGGATAGATAGATAGATAGATAGATAGATAGATAGATAGATAGATATGAATAGTATGAGAGATTTTGAACAGTGAGATAGATAGATAGATAGATAGATAGATAGATAGATAGATAGATATGAATAATGTGAGAGATTTTGAACAGTGAGATAGATTTGAACAGTGAGATAGATTTGAACAGTGTGATAGATAGATAGATAGATAGATAGACAGATAGATAGATAGATAGATAGATATGAACACATTGGAATAGATAGATAGATATGAACACATTGGAATAGATAGATAGATAGATAGATATGAATAATGTGAGAGATTTTGAACAGTGAGATAGATTTGAACAGTGAGATAGATTTGAACAGTGTGATAGATAGATAGATAGATAGATAGATAGATAGATAGATAGATAGATAGATAGATATGAATCGTGTAAGGGGTTTTGGATAGATAGATAGATAGATAGATAGATAGATAGATAGATAGATAGAAGTATTTCTCCATATATTTGATGTTAGCAGAGGAAACGCAGAAAATTGATCCAGTGAAGGTTCTTCACCCTGGTGAGAAAGGAGATGTGATCTCCATCATTGACTCTGCCGCCATGAAGCGATTCTTGGCTCGTGCAACAACTGACCTGTTACCCTTACCAGTCAGCCTCAAG